TCAGCTGAGTGGATGTCTCTATTTGAAGTATATTTTTCACTTACATTCAGTTAACTGAATTTTCCTGAAATGAATATATGTAGAAGTGAAGTGATAAATTTTAGGAAGTACACACTTTTATTTCCCTTAGTATTAGTGCCAAGCAGGGCTGCTTTATAGTGCTTGATTTTTAAGATGGCCTATACAGTGATTTTTACCAAATGGTCCTATTTGAAATGTTCTAGCTTGGTATCCAAAGAATTATCTTCATTTGCAAGTCACCAAAATTCTGTTGATTACAAATATTTAAGCTTTCAGAGCTTGACATGTGGTCAGAGAATGGAAATGGCACTGTGCGATGGTCATAACTAACCAAATCTCCCAGATATTTTGTGGGAGCTTTATGTATGAAGAAATGTAGAGATATTAGAAAAATAGAACATTGACCAACAGTAATAAAAATGTCACTAAAAAGTACTGAGTTAATATTAATAAAGAAAATTCTTGAGGAAATTAATTTGTAAACATTTGTGAACAGAAAGGAGAAAAGCTTGTGAGAGAAACTAACGCTTGAAATAAATATGGATAACTGTAAGGAGCAGGAAGTGTGTTTTTATTATTTTTTTTTTTCCTAATGTCATTGCTATATTTCTCTTCCACTCTACCTCTGTTCGGGTTTTAGTTCAAAATAGAGATGGTCTGATCCAGAATATTTTTCAAAAATACATAAACACATTGAGAATCCAAATATGCTTTTAAATGAAGTCAATGTGTGTCTTCTGTACATAGCTCTCTGTTCATAGTACTAGAAAATTGTTGAGGCCAAATAGTAGAGAGCTTTGACCCTGACAGTATGCAGTCTTGTTTACACAGATTACACTGAATTGAAAGTCCATGACTGGCTGTGAAGACTGCAAGATTTCCAGGCTGAGCAGGGTCATATGGAAGCAACTGAAGTTTGTATGAAAAAATCAGCTTTGTAAATGAGGAAAATGAATAATCAAATGCTCAAATTTTATTCCCTTCTGGTATAGGAAACTGGGAGATATTTTGCATGAGTGATTAACTGTTGTGCAGTGATTACTTTTCAGACCAGCCTCAGCTCCATTTTAGACATTGCAAAGAGGCTTATAAAGCAAGGTAGTTTCAAAAGTTTCTGACAATAATCATTCTGAGAAAGAGATACAAAAAGTCAGTGAAATCACAAGGACCAGATGTTTATTTGGAATACTGGGTAAACAGGGAAGTTCTGTTTTTCAAGGAAGATTAGGGAGTTCAATGGTAGGTACAAGGCCACAGTACTAAATGCTGACATGGACTCTCCAAGGTTGCCTAGAGTAGTTGTGCTAAAGTAAATAATTCCATGTTGCACCTGTCAGAAGCTACAACAGAACTGCTTTGAAGTGAGTTGCATTAACATCCATGTACTCAGCAAACTGAGCAATTATAAACAGGTCTCTGCTCTCCATGTTGGCTATTATAATTATTTGTTCAATTTGTTGCTTTGCCTCAATTCTAGTTAATGCAACTTATGAGCACTTAGCACGTACTGGAAAGACAAAGGAGAGAAGTGACTGCTGATGGTCTGGCAGTAGTCCACAAATTGTGACCTTATAGTAAGAGGCAAAGATGGAGCTGACAGTCAGGAAGCTGTACAGGATTGTAGGGCAGGATGGTGCCAGTTGGAAGCAGTAACACTCAATGCATTAAAATTGTAAAGAAACCAAACATTTCTTTTTTCCTCTTCTTTTTTTTTTCTTTTCCTAGAACATGATAGTGAACATTTCTATAACTGTTGTAGAGACTTCTGATTTTGCCTTTACAAGATCAAACACGCAGAAATACAGGAATTTGAAAAAAAAAACATATATTTCTCAGTATATTACATGGGAAATGAGGCAGATTAAGTTCTTATAAACTTCGTTATCAGTAAGTTTGACCAATATGCAGGTGATGACTTGAATTTTCCAAGCAGCAGATGTTCAGAAGTGGGGAGACAGAAGCTGGCCAAGAAAGCTGCTTCAGCAGCAGTGTGGGTTATAAAATCAGCATGGACAATCTGTTCTTCAAAGTAGAGCTAAAGTGATTTAAAGGGTTCATCAAGGTCACTTGGGAATACTATAAAGGAATACTCCAAAGCACCAGCTGTCAGGACTGTCAAGTCTTGCTAATGAGCAGTGGAATATGTAGAAAATAATACTAATGCTAATTGAAACCTGAATAGCTTAGAAGTCTATCAGGTCATTGCTATTGATTCATATCCTGTAATAATGTCACCTACAGAACATGCAGTGATGCCTGCCTACCTACAGTATTTGCTAATCCATTTTTGATGCTGTTCATACAAATATCTGGAAGATCTGAAGACATCTTCAAGAGAGGTGTTCTGTTACTTTAGAGATGATGGATCACTTCTCGATTTTGTAACAAATTCTGAGCAGTATCTTGGCTTCAGAAAAGGGGAAGAAAGTGCCCTGCTTCCAAGATAGCTTATAGTTCTTTAGGATTTTTTCCAAGGTCTTGAATGGGTCTGAATAATCTCAGTTAGAATTTAATTAATCTATTTATCTTAGTTTCTGTTTTGGGGAAGGAGGTGGAGGCATTTTTATAAAATTTAATATGGAACCTAACAGCACTTATGTCTTAGGTATCTGTGCCAAGTATGACTCTACAGTTGAAAGAGAGATATGTAAATTCTGGATCTTAAAATGCTAAATTGCCCTTAAATTATGGTCACATGTGTCTGCATAGGAGAACAAATCGGAACTCACCATAGCTCTGGCCTCATGGTCCAACTGCAGGCAATAAGCCCCACTTCTTCATTCAGGTATCTCTGAGACTCCACGGTATGTGTTCCCTATGTTCCTCTTTGAATTTAGTTCCATTTTAAAATTAGAACTTAAATGCCACTAAGAATAATACCCATGTCTAAGCAGACTTTCTCTCAAGGGTTATGTGACACATGTAACAAGCATGCTCAATTTCAGTGCAGTTTGTATAGTTTGTTGAAGAGAGCAACATTATCCCACAAACAGCATCTAAAACATTCAGAAAAATCTTATGGACCACCAGTGAGGGCCTTGATAATGAAGAAATTCAGACAGTTTTTGCTCAACTTTGAGTTATGATATTTCTTTAATTGAATTTGTGAAACTCATCTCAGAAATTTAGTAAATAAAAATCACAGCTTGCAAATAGTATTTGTGTAGATATCTACGCAAGATCTACAGGAAGGTCCTTCAGGTTTTTGGAATGTGAGTCTATTTCAACTATTCAAATATCAGATATCCTCAGAGTCACTTATTAAGTTATTACTACAAAACCATAAACTTCTCATGCCATCAGTTAGACCTCCCTTTGCTACTTGTCACTGGTTTTACTGTGCTGCCAGAACAAATACATTCATTTAGTGGTGAGTTACAAATTTTCCCCATGGTATCTTTCTGTGCACATTTTGCAATTCAGCAACTTAAGGAAAATTCTTGGATTTGAATTACAGTTATTTTTAATTAATGAGTAATTTAGTATAAATATGGTCTGGTGAGTGTCAGAGTTCTACTTATGGACTTAAGTTACAATTTCACACTGTGAAGACAGTAAGGTTTGTTCATCAGCTAGATCTTGAAGCTGAGAATAGAGTTATTTGCAATATATGCTTTCCCGATGTCAGGGCAAAACTCTACCAATGTATCAATAATAACTTTCCAGTTGTTTTTATATTATTCGGACACTTTCTGACTGTTTTTACAAATCACTGACACATAGGATCAAAGAACAGCTTGGGTTGGAAGGAACTTTAAAGACTGTGGAGCCCAAAACCACCTGCTGTGATCAGGGCTGCTGATCATCAGATTAGGCTGCCTGGGGCCCCCTCCAATCTGTCCTCGAATAACTCCATATACACCTAATATTGAACAAAATGAATAGAAATAGTATACGATTCAAGGAACTTAGAATTTAAATAGGGCAGTTCAGTGCACATTGAATGTTCCAAGTATGTCCAGAATAAGACCTTGTCTTTCCATTTTCACATTCATATTTTCAGGCTAGCATGAAGAAAGTTAATGTACTTTAATACAGTGAGATTATCAAAATTATATTTATCTATCTGAAAGATTTTGAAGATTTAATACCTGTATTAGTCCATCTGCAGGGCAAACAGAAACCCTAAGATGGCTATCTTGACTGATTTTACATTTAACATTCAGCCATCATTTCTGTCTCGTCTCTTAGAAATATGTAATTTATGGGAAGTAGACATAAGCAGCATTAAGACAGCTGCCTGAAATCTAGTTTTCTGGTCAGGTAAGAATGCTACAGAAACTAGAGATCCGCATGGCTGAGGAAACTGTATGGAGTGGTTAAAAATAGCTGATGCACTGAACTAGACAGTTTTCATGTCGGGCTTATATAGGGCAGAGGCTGTTAATGATTGTTGAAGCATGTATTTATAGGAAATTGACCATGTAGAAGCCTGGCCCAAATCACCTCAGCCCCCAGTACATACACAGAAATTACCTAGAGCCTTGTAAACAAGGAATACTCATGTTTTTCTTTTAAAAATGAGTTAATGGTTACAGATTTCCATTCAGAATACCTTTAGCTGTTTAGTGAAGCATTGTGTACTGTATTGACTGCATAATTATTATAGGTTTTGGAGCTGTTTGTAAGTGATGGCTTACAATAAAAAATGTCTTAAGAAAACAGTCTTGCTCACAGAATAGTAATTTTAGCATTCTATGAATGCTGCATCCTTCATCAAATTTCATTTTTGCTTCCTGTTCTGTTAAAAAATAAAAATGTAGCATACAAATACAGAGATGATTATTTCCTACTTCAGTGTTTTACACATTTGCGGTAGAGTAGATGGTTAAAAAATGAAAAAAATAGTTCTTAAAAATTTTCATTACATATGCATGAAAAAATTAGAAAAATGTAAGATAAATGGAACAAGCAATATTCTGTGACTTCCTGTTTTTGTGTTTTTGCAGTTCATGTCTTTCGTTTTTCTTTTCCTAGAAGTGAAATGAATATCAATGAAAGAAAGGAAAATAAAGGTAAGAAAAGTCTATCTTTCTATTCTTTGTACACTTAAGTTCTTTGTCAAATGTGAATGTGATAACTCACGTAAGTGCAAGTGTTTGATCAGGACTAATCAGTGAATGTTTATGAGAGTGTTACTAGTATACAATCTTGTTTGTCAGCTGTGATGAGAATGTTTTTATTTGCTGTAGTGTGTTCTGTAAAGCCAATCTATTTCAGTAATATAATCTCAATTTAACCTTCAAAATAGTCAGCACAACTACTTGATCTTTCAGGTATCAAAATCATCAGACAGAAATTCTCTAAAGATGCTGAAGCAAAATCCTAAATGATGCCTATCTAAACTCTTGCTGACTCTTTCGAAAAAAAATGTTTAATGACTCATTATATAGCATAGTGGCAGTCCTACCCTACTTCTTGCAGAAGAAAACACTATAATGGTGGAAGGAGAGAAGTTAGAGGAGACTATTCTACACTCCACATAAAGTCTAATTTTTGGGATCCTTTCCTGCTGTTTAAAACACCCCCCTTTTGTCATTGAAGCTATTTAGGCACAAGTTAGACAAATCTGACACCCTTACTTATGAAAGAAGATCATAATATTCTCTTCCGGCATGCAGCTGCTCCTATGAATAATTTAGTCAGCATTTATAGTCTCTTGAAATTGTAGAACTATTGTGTGAATGTATTCTCTCAAAAATAGCTATTACTGTGATAGTAGATACTAAAGTAAGAAAAGAGTACTCAATACTGAGATCTATTTTTCAGTGGCTGTAGAAAGTCACTCCATTTTTCACATGTAAAGCTCTGCTGCTTATATCAGTCTAAAGCATATTTTTCAAGCTGGTCATAAAAGCCTTAATGACTTTTCACAGCTCCTTCATGCTGAGAGAAAGTTCAGAAGTGGTATTCATCCAGCCTGCGTAGATGAATAAGGAAGGGTTTTAATGGATAAACAGATGTTCAGTCTTATGTAGGATTTTGAATTTGATCATTCAAAGAAACGGCAAGAAATATCAACTTGTCAGGCAAACCATTTCACACCATGGGCAAAAAGCACTGGAACCAACCCCTGCATCTGTTATTTTCACTTGAGCAGAAGAACCTCAAAAGCTTCAATTCTAGTTAGATTATTTTGAAAACAGTTTACCTGAATAAACAGTGGAAGTGCCACTTCTCATTTACAACATTTTGAAACGTCAAAAGCCATAATTTGGACATGTGAACAGAAGAGAAAAAACTCAGAGCTCTGTAACGCAACAGGAGTAAGATACTTTATAAAATGTGGCAGAAATAAAATGGTGTGCTTATTGCTTAAGAATTTGCCACTTGTATAAATTGATAAAGGAATATTTATAAAATTGAACATTTCAGTAGATCACAAATAGGACTATCAACGTGAACATTTAAATGAATAATGAATTACTAATAATTTATTAATGATTCAAAAATAACAGCCATTACAGGGCAAGTGTAAGGTATTTAAATAATATGTGAGTGAGCAAATATACAGTATATTAGATACTTCTCAGATTCATATTTGGATTTCTGGATATTGATTGTATTTTACTGATATGCATATCTCAAAATTATAGATGAGTAAACAATGTCATATTTTCAAAAATATGGCCACATATAAGCTGCTGTGTCTGTAGTTACATTCTAAACAAAAGAAAGTGTTTTGAATTTATATTTTGTTTTATACCAAAGTAAAATTTCCAAGATGGTCTATTTGAGTCCAGACCACTTGTTTAGGTACAATAACCTAAGGAGTATATTAATGACATGCAATGATTTTAATTTCCATGTCATTCTGAAAATACTTTTATTTTTAAAATAGATAAAATATTTTAGAACTTAAACCTAGAGGTGAAATAATTTGAAAGTATCACTTTAAGTGTATTTTTTTTTTTTTCAAAGCTTCTAACATCACAGTGACAGTGACAGAAGTTAACTATCACGTATTTTCATTCTCAAACACGTTCCTTGCTCTATCCAAAATGTCACTTCTTGGAGGATACAAGTTATTAACTTTTACAGAATAATGCATACTCTAATTATAATCAGTTGTAAAATTCTTACCATTTTTTTAGAACAAAAACAAGCTTTAAGTGGCATGTATAAAAAAAACCTGTACAGATCCAGTCAGTTCGTAAGCTAAAAGTCATTAATAATTAGAAGACTGTAGAATAATAAAGAATTCAATAGTACAGTCACTGTAGCTGAAATGCCCAAAGCCCAGTCTGTTTACATAGTAATAGACAAACAAACATAAAAGATGGAATCAGGTTGATTATTACATCAAGAACAATGTCCCCACATCCCACTTAAGAAGGAAAAATAAAAGGAGTACCTTCTATTGCTGAACTTTATCAGCTCTTCATTTAATGAATATACATGCTATGCTTTTGGCCTGAATTAGGTGAGTTACAGTTATTACTTATACTGTAGGAGAAGAAAAATCTGTCAGCATCATTAACCATGAAATTTTGTCTCAAGACTGAATCACTGTGTTGTTGCTTGACCTCACTTTTCTGCCTATCTGCATGTCTGAAGCTGTGTGTTGATCGTAGGGTGGTTATTTCAGCCAAAGTGAGCTTCCCAGGCTCCCTATTGAGCAAGACTGTTAGGCAAGACAGCTGCATGACATTTGGTGTAATTTGTTGACACTAAAAGTCCCTGAGTTCAGCTCTAATGGAAGACAGATCATGCAATGCCCTAATGAAGTACTGGGAGCATACTTAGTATAGCAGATTTTAAATAGGGAAGAGTGTGCACATTCTAAATTGACAGAAAATCGGAGAGTCTTAGTAGTTCCTGCTGCTAATGGAAATCTGAATTATACTTTGCTGATGAAGTCTGGGACAAAGATTAACAGAAAGAAGAAAAGAGTAGGAACACAAGTCTAGTTGATAACTAATCAAGGGAGAAGAGCAGAAAAGAATACAAATGTAAAAATTGTTCTTTGTGATCTGAAAGATATGCTTAATTTTTATGGTTACATTTAATTAAACAATTTTTTTCAGTAAGTCGCACATCCAGAAAAAGAGTTTCTAATGACTATCTGCCCAAAAGGCATTGAACAGTGCTCAGATTTATTTTTCTGTTCCTAGCAACAATAGAAACAATGAAGAAATGATAACAGTACTTACTGCATATGCATATAACATTCTTGTCAGTGTTTTCTTACTTAGAAAAGCCTAAAAAAAGCTTATGGTTTCTGAAAGATTTCGTTGTGAAATTTTTTGGTGATCATCTCTTCTTTCAAATTAGGAATGAATTCCTCTATCTCTGTGTATCAGATTTATTTCTGACAGGAAAGAAGAAAAGACGACATTGCCATTTTTTTGGTTTACTACTTAATATGTTACATGAAAATATAAAACAACATCACAGATAAAATCCCTCTTACCACAGAATTTTGTTCTTCTTTTGATCTTATCTGTACAAGTCTTTATTGAATCTTTGGAGCTGTGCAGATAACCTGAGAGTACCTCTATCTCTTTTAACGCATTTAAAAACCTAATAATAATTATGGTTTTTATGTAACAGAATTCCAATAATATATGGTCTGGCTTATATTTATCAAAACTTAAGTATATACTAACAAGGAACATTTTTATGTTATGTTAACTCTGTTATGAATGTTAACTCTGAGGACTTTCTGGAGCACATCCGTCCTGTAGAAAAAGTGATATGTATTATAAGCCCTAAGCAGGTAGATGCACCGTACAAACTGCAGGCCAGAGAAGGGATTTAAGGTGATAAATCAGTATCAAAAATACTGGAAATGTGAATTCCCAAGCAAATAAAACCATGGCTTTTTGCACAGAGTTTACTGCTTTTTGGATGTCTCATAGCAGAAATCTGAGGAGGAGGTAAGGGGGAGAAAAAATTAAACTTTTACAGAGTACAATTAAAATATGCTTGCTAGATTGTAGACACATAATAAGAATGAGAATACTTCATTCAGTACTTTTATGTTTAGAAGTTGTCTTAAATGTATTGCATCAAGAGATTGTTTCTTATAAAGTATAATTTTCATTAGGTTTTTGAAGATTAATGGAGTACTGTGTCCAGGTGTGGAGCCCTCAGTACAAGAAAGACATAGAGATTTTGGAAAGGGTCCAGAGGAGGGCGACTAAGATGATCAGGGGGCTGGAGCACCTCCCCTATGAGGACAGGCTGAGGGAGTTGGGCTTGTTCAGCCTGGAGAAGAGAAGGCTGCGGGGTGACCTCATTGCAGCCTATCAATACCTGAAGGGAACCTACACCCACGAGGGGAGTAAACTCTTCAAAAGGGCTGACAACAGCAGGACTAGGGGAAATGGATCCAAGTTGAAGGAGGGAAGATTTAGGTTGGATGTTAGGGGGAAGTTCTTTACAAGGAGAGTGGTTAGGCCCTGGAACGGGCTGCCCAGGGAGGTTGTGGATGCCCCGTCCTTGGATGTGTTCAAGGCCAGGTTGGACGGGGTCCTGGGCAACCTGATCTGAATGTGTGTGTTTGGTGGCCCTGCTAGGCAGGGGGGTTGGAACTACGTGATCCTTGAGGTCCCTTCCAACCCGGGTGATTCTGTGATTCTGTGATTCATAGAAAAAAATTGCATTTCCCAGAATCACCAGTCCTGATGGTGACCGTGCTCTTGCAGCCACGTTTGTGCAGAGAGGAGATCCTAGAGCACTGCCCACTTCCTGTCTGTGCTCTGATGCTGTCAGCCTTGGAGGAGCCTACATGTAGGGCAGAGCTGAAGCTCTCTGCCTGGGTACCAAAAGAGCATGGAAGCTCAGAGGCCAGGGTGTACCAGAGAGAAAGCTGCCTCAGAGGAAAAGGGTTTAGTCTAGTTTAGATGTCAAGAGACTGAAGAAAGCATGGTTCAAGAGTGGTAGTGAAATTCCATTGTCATTCATGAAAATCTACTAGTTCTCCTAATAGTTTTCCTGGGGAATCAAAGCACCTGAATTGCATGTGCACCTGGCTTCTGTGGTTGGAATGCTGGATGACTGCCCTTGAAAATTCCACCTGGTTCATTAGTTAACTGAGAGATGCCCAGAGGTTATATATAGAATATCACTTCAAATTTTGGACATAGGATCTGAAGGAAACCAGTTTCAGTGAAGGCCATTAAAATTAACTGGAATTCAGTGCAGTGAGTACATTGCAACTGCACCAGTGAGCCATGCAAAAAAACAATATCTACAGCTTCATTGATAAACAATAGAAATCTCTATAAATGGTACACCAGAGAAAATCACAATTAAAATGATGTTTTCGTCCTTTTACTCTATTTCTGTAATGGCTGTAACAGCTGAAGTATCATGTCAAAAGCATTAATATGCCTGGGCCCTGAATCATTCTACATATAGGCTAGATTTACCTGGATCACGGTTGTATATTTCTAAAAGTGAAGAAAAGTGATGCTGCACTTGAAATTTAATTTTGACAGGAAATAAATGAATTAGTATTTCAGTGCTTAGCTAGTTCAGATTTATATCTTGAATTGTACTGAGAGGAAAATTAAAAGCCAGTGTGTTTTGCTGAAGCACAAGTTCCTGTTGAACCTGTTGAAATGTTCCTTCTGTTTTGTTTCACACAAGCACTGTTTAGATAGCACATGTGCCAGTTGGCCTGACAATTTGCCTCACAAGAGTCAGAAGTGCTAACAACTGAGTAATGTTTTGCCAAATTTAGATGAAACATTGTCCTTTGTGTGTGTAACTATGTCTTTATGTAGTAAATGACAGTAATTCTGTCTATCTCTAGATCCACTTCAGAGGGAATGTGTAGTGCAGCATTCAGCAGGAATAGACTTATCAGGGGTCAGATCAAAGATCCATGTGGCCCAGTATCCTGTCTCTGATCAGATTCAATAGAAAATTCCTAAGGAAAGCAGAACAGGTGGAATTTGTCTGACTGTGGAAGTCCACATTTTAGTCTGAATCTATTACTCGAGGTTTTTTCACAGTGAATAGAATTGTCAGCAGTGCTGGTGGGAACTTGCCTTGGAGCAGATGCTCAAAACAGGACAGCAGTTTCTTCTGAGAAGTGCTTGTCTTTCTCCCTTGAATGCGAAGACAGCCTGGGAAGATTAGCTCAGCTGTATATTTTTATAATGTAGATATAGAGAAAGGAGAAGAGTGCCTCAGTGTTTAACATCTCATATTTCTCCTGCTAATTCACCCATCTGCCTTTTTAAATGCAAGTAAATAAATCCACGATGCAACACAGTGTTACTCCTAACTACCCATTCTGAAAGAATTATCTTTTGTTAGTTCTAAATTTGTAACCTGCTAGTGTCACTTCTTGTTTCTTAATATTATTGTGTTGATATGCTCATTGAAAGGAAATCAACTGATAGTATGAAGGTTCATAACAACAAGCTTAAATGGCATAAACCTTTGTGAGCCTTACCCGCCTTTTCAGTTTATAGGGTGCACAGGAGCAGAATGTGCTGTGTCACGGAGCACCTGCTGAAGGACATCCAAGAACTGGATTGCATGACGTGAGCAGCAACCAAAGGGTTCCCTCTAGTATCATCATGTTGATTTGACTGTTATGATTGGAACATAAAAGATAATGATGATTTGGGTGATGCTCAAATCTGATAAGCTTTTCCATAAAAATTTGGTGTTGTTTTTGATCCTGAAATATCGCACAAGTAAATAAGCAAAATACGTTCACTGTACTGATTTCTTACATAGACATCTCAATTGTGAACATTTTAAGATTAAGAAATGTATTTTGTTAAGGAGAAAAATTGAACTTGCCTGTTATTGAAGAGACAGATGTGTGACACGAAACACAAGGTTATATTTAGAAAAGGCATATTATGTGGTCTTCAGTTGTAACTGATTGATGCACAGGGAATTTTGGAACTCTACTTTCCTTGTCAATTTCATGAAAAATGTTCTTGAGAACGTGTACTTTACCCACTGCTTAGTCACGGTCTTCCTCTAATCTCTGGGTTTCCAGTCATGTCCTGGAGCAAAGTTTGTAATTCACTGGGCTTAAGTCACAAACTTTGACATGAATAACTTTGCTCACTGAGCTGGAGTAACTTCATAAATAAACCTTGTACTCTGGGGAGTCCAACCTCCTCATAATGCCCTCCAAAGTTCTCTCCCAAGCTAATTAGCACAAATGGGGAAAAAAAGGATCTGCATCCAGTAAACCAATCTAACTCCTTGTAGAAGATGATAAAGGTGCCTATTCTTATAATACGGATTAGAGAAGTCTTGAGCTGAATTATACATTACAGACATCCTACCCATTATGCAATGTGTGTTGAAGGCTATTATTTTCCGTCCTTTGGGAACTCTGAGGTATGAGAAACATAGAATCTAAGAAGAAAGAAGATGAAAAAAGAAAATTTTTTTTGCTAGAAGCAAATTTTAGTTTATTATTCAGCTCAGTTCCACTGTTCCACTTTCTAAGTTTCACTAGATGTTCCAGTTAAATATCAAATTACAGTTTGAAAGTAGAATTTCTTCAGGGAGGACAGGTAAGGTCTCCAGAATTCTAGCATTTAAGTAGCTGAATTTGCCAAAATAGGTTAAGCAACTTTTTCTTAGATTTTCTTTTGTTTTTATCTATGAAGCAAACTCTGCTTCCACAGCCTACAGCTATTTGTGATGAGAAGTTTGACTTCTGTCTAAACCAGGGTGCTACTTATTTTATTACTCATATTTTAATTTTCTTTTTCTTTTTCTTTTTTTTCCCCATTCTTGAGAGTTTGAGGAGGTTGTCTTCATTCCTTAGAAGCTAAAAGTTAATGTATTCACTTTTTGCCCTTATTTCCAAGGAGCATTCCAATGTGTAATTTACTATCAATACTATCTCTCTGTAATGCAGGCTCTCATATAACTCGATCCATATTTCTAGTAGTCTGCACCATCAGCTTAATTACAGTAAACACCTACTTGCTGAAATCACACTCTGATACTGGAACCCCTTGTGGTTTTTCATAGTTTTATAGGGAAGAAACTATAAAAATTCTTTGAAAACGTTATAATCTTTGTAGATAATTTGTAATTATGCATAAAATAAAGCAATGAAAGTCAAGTGTACCTAACGTTTACCACAGAACAACTTGTATAAGGATAACTTTTCCCACTTCACACTCCAATGAAAGAATACCTTGATAAAAATGGTTCACTGGAAACAGATGTTAGGTGTTGGGATAAAATGCCTGTAGCAACTTTAAACAAAATCATATCTATCTCAGCTAAGCCTACACTTGACAGGGAAAGTACAAAGGGCCCCATCTTCTTTCTGTTGCTTACAGCAGCACAGGTAACATACGTTTTCTGATTAACTTTTAGTGTGGCAGAAGCTGCTCCAAGCTGAGAGCCAGCTATATTTAGTAGGCAAGGGGAGAGACATCTGAGGAAAAAATCTAGTCAAATACAGTGAATTTATTATTTGAGTTGAAGACAAATACCCACCAATTTCTTAAGATCTATGTTCTGATTTTAAATTTCTGTCACAAGATTAATGATTAAAGACTATCAGAAAAAGAAGTTAACCTGGCAACATAGTCATTGCCATTGACATAGTGTTTTTTTCTAAACACTAGATATTTCTTTAAAGGAATTTTTTTTTTCCTGTGCCAGAGACACTGTCCCAAACTGACATAGAAGTTGATTGTAGCTCAGATAGTTCCTAAAAAACAAACAAAACCAAAATAAAACAAAAATAAAGAATTCTACCTCAATGAAAAGGTGATGCAGAAAATTCTTAATGTATTTTGAACTAATTTAAATAGGACTAAATAATTCAGTTTTAGATTATAACACAGGCATCATGTGTCACTGCCTTTCGCATTATCTTAGCAAAGCTACAACTAAGTTGTGTTCAGTCCTCTATCTTATCAGGAATATTGCACCATACCCTATAGTACACTTAAGGGCAAAGTTCTTTTGGTGCAGACTTTCTCACCCGTTAAACACACCCAGAGTACACATTATCTAGGTGAACTTCTGACCTTTTGAAATTAAATTATCCACTTCCAGTGAATCAGATTTAAAATCATTTTACAAATTGGGATAAGCTCAATTTATCCTAGTTTTTCAGATTAAATATTATTAAAATCCTCCTTTGTCTGAGTCACTTTTCTGAAGCTTGCATGTCTCAATGTCCTTGAGAGAATTATGAGCATTTGTTAGGATACTAGGCAATGCTAAAGAACTACTGTTTTCAAAAACAAGCAAGAAAACAAAAACAAACAAAACTCCCTCACCTGTCATAGTTATATGACATAGTTATATTTCCAGATTTATTGCTTTAGCATTTTTTTAATGCCATATATTGTTTTTGTTACTTCTACAATTGCATTAGTATAGAATCAAGCTCTCATCCTGAAATACTTTTTGTCTATATGTCTCTTTGAATGGATTTGTTTTGTATTTAAACTAACATATTATGTATGTTTTGTATATATATGTTATGTATGTTTTGTATTTAAACTGACATATTGTGATGTTGCTTAATCTAAAATACCATCTAATATTCTTATATATATATATGTTTTTTACTTTCATGTTACTTTGACAACACTGATATCAGTCCTATTTTTACACTGATAGAAAAATTAATATGGGATTGCTCTTCACGTGCCTTTTTTAAACTACTTTCCAGTACAAGTATCTTATTCTTTCAGGACTAGCAAAATAATATTAAAGTTGTCTGTAAAAATTTCTGCACAAAATTGAATCAACTAGACAGAAGTCGATTTAGAGAAATATATATTATATGTGTATAGGTGCACTAAGCTTTTCTCATTATTTTTAGATTAAGCATTTTCCTACTAAAAATAAAATTCTGTTACCAAAGAACACTGAACATTTCTCCAAAATGGCAATGTAAGTTGTTCATATTATCTAAAATATAAAACTGATAAAATACACAGAAAAGGCACAGATGTTTTTGTTTTCTTTTCTTTCCTTTTTTCCCCTTCTCTCTCTCTTTTTTTTTCTCTTCCCTGAATTATTTTTGTCTGGAGTGCTATATGGAATTTGTTGTATCAACAGCAAACAATTTTTTTTTTTTTTTTTTAAAGGATATTTTACTGATATTGTGTTTTTGATTACTCCAGAAAACAGGAAGTACAAATGAAACATATCTGTATGATTGCTACTTTTCCAGAGAAGAGCTGAAGTGCAGTAAGTACTCTTTATCAGTTATAGCTTATTATAACAAAGTCTTCCTTTCCTGCTTTCAGTTGAATTTTACCTCTAAGGTGTGATGAAAGGCCAATAGCAGAGATGATACATGTATCCTGTTTGGATGTATTTGTTAAAAATGTGTTTAAATGTCTTATAATAAAAGTAAAATCCACCGTCAAAGAATATTATTTGATATCCTTCAATATAGTAACAAAAATAAAAAGATTCAAATGTATTAGAAATCACAAATTAAAATCAAAACCTACAAAAATCTAAATTGTTCTTTCTTAGCTATTGTCTTCAAACTGTTGTTCTGAGTAAGGCCCATGGCAGGCCCATGGCTACTTTTAGCTATAATGTGTGATCTAGAAAAGCTTTTGAAAAGGTTTTGCAGTACAACGTAAATATAGAAATCCACGCTTTCTCAGTAAACTTAAGGTTAAATATATACATAAATTAATGATTATATTCAAGCTAACAACATGTCATTTGTTTTCAGTTATGAAATATTCAAAGCTTTGTTATGTTGGTGAACTCAGAGTGTCAAAGACAGACACACATTGTTTGAAAAGCTTAATTGGGAAAAAAAGCTAGTAAAGTTTGAAGAAGGGCATGTGAGGACATATTTAACTACTGTAAGACTTCTTGCTTGCATAGATGTGCATTTATGCTCATCAGAATCCACTTACATCATATTAACGTTGATATATTAACAAGTCTTATTTATCAGCTTCTTAATTTCTCAAAGAAAACCTTGGAAAAAATATTTTGCTCACAGGATATTTATTCTCCTGTACTTTGGAAGATCCTCAGATTCTCACAGTTTGCCTGAGATGGAAAGATTTTATGTTATCTCAAAGTAATGCCAGAATGTTCTCATTCTGATAATTTCAGGACTAATGATCGCTGGCAGATGACTAAATCAAACTAGCAAATTTTTTTTTTTTTTGAAGTCTTTCTGTATTTACAGATAATAAAAGACTAGAAATCTTAATAACATCTAGTATAATCAACTTAAGATATTGAGTTTTACAATGGACATGTGAAATTAATAATTTTTTCCAGTAGACACATTTATCTGGAGCTGGAAAGCTGTTTAGAATTCATTTTTTCTATAGAACAAGGGCTGCTCCAGAAGTAATGCTTCTTGTTTTTATTCTGTTGACCTGCAATGTCAGAAGCAGGTGTTCGTGGTATGGCAGCAGGAGTTGAACCTTCCTACCAAGATTTCCTTACATTTTGTTGCTGTGTGACAGATGGCAGAAGAGGAGCAGTCTGAGAAAATGGCATTTGACATAGAAGTAAGTGTGTGGAATTGAATTCCTCCATGCAGAGAAAAATTGCACACACTGACATTCACTGACGCTGCAAGTTTACAGAGACCACACATTGGGTGTGAGCACACTAAGGTGGAGGATGGCAAGAGAAGTGGCAAAAGCTACATGAAAGACAAACCACTTTTTATGAGAGAGGCATGCAGGCACTTGTTCAGCACTGTCAAAAATGCACAATTAATGGTATCTACTACATTGAAAATAAGTGTTTTGTAGATAAACATTTTCTCTATCAACTAGTGCTATTGTGCTGTTTGTAGCTGTCTAATATTCCAGGGAAATAAATAGAGGTATTACTTTTAGAGTGACCTATGTATGTTCTCCACATTTTTTTGAGAAGACCTATTGAAATTGGCATAATAAAATAATTTATTCAGACATTCACTTTTCCTTATAGTTCTGTCTTAGGCCCTTTCTTATTGGACAGGCTACAACTGACTACTCAAAAGAGATTTGGTCAGTCTCCATCAGTTGTCAGGGCCAGGATTCTTTCCACTTCCAACTCAAAATCAGTCAATTTTTTTTCTGGTATTATTGTACTGGAAAATAATAAGGTATATTTTGTTTAAGTATGTCTATTGCAAATTTGTGAGGAGGTCCCATTGCTTTAATGTAGATGGAATCTTTGCAGTAACATAGAGAAATGTGTTTGCACTGTTATTTTTATTCACTCTCATATTCTGTCTTTGAAAGGAGGACAAGTGTATTTGCCTAAACTGTAAAATGCTGATTGCTAATGCCTTTGAAATCTTTACACTTACTCTGTTTCCCCTTCTTCCTATGTCTCTTTTTCCTTTTGGAATACGATCTTTATGTCTCTGTCATTTAGATTCCTATTCTTGATTGCTGCAAAATTCTTTCCTGCTACATAGGAACCTATGTTTTTGAAGTTTTTGCTTTTAACCAAAGCCTTGTTCTTTGGCTCATTTTTTACCCTCTTATATAACCTTCATTGAACTGAAAAAAATGATACAAGAATTGTCTTTTAAACTTGAATGAAGCAATATCAAACACTGTGCTGCCTAACATAGAGAAATGAATTGATTTGGGGAAATTAAATATTGATATTATGTTCTCAAGGCCAGCACAAAACAAGGCAATTTCACAAATTTTGCATGGAGCTCTGAGAGTTAGTGTGAAAATATATGAAAATAAAGGAAGTAGGGCAAGTGGCTAAAAGAGAAGAGCCTGTAGCTGACATGTCAGCATTGTACGTTTTCAGCCTTTCTGAGCACAGTTCCACTGAATGTAAAATGGCAAAGAGGGGAGGGTCTTTTGAGTCTCTCCTCAGATAAAGGCACCAACAACCTGATTTGTTTTCAATATGTGTGGTTGTATGTGTGTGAAGCATCTGTAGAACTGTTGATTTTTCACTTGAATTTGGTCCCTAGCTTAAGCCAAAGACTTTCCTTCACAAGCTGCAGAAATAGTTAAAGGGTAAGAAGTTCCGTGTTGGTCATCAGTATCAGAAAGTAAGAAAGTACTGCTGCGAACTTCAATTTTTGATTTATTTTAGTCTATCAAGATGAATGTTAATTTTCGTGATAGAAAAATTTCTTTAACTCTTTGATTTATTAAATGAAAATACTAGAAAAAAGAATATTGTTTTAAAGATACTCTTAAATGTATCTACTATGATTTAAATTAAGCATTAGCTTTTATCTCTAAAGACGAGAGCTAGATGAAGAGCTAGATTTACTTCCCTTCGTGACTTGGTTTTTAGGAGAAAAAATTCTGTCCATGTTCTGTTATATATTTGAAAAACACTTAGATCAATTATATATACATTCCAAATACCAGTAAAATTTCCTTCAGTTGTCTGTGAGTGTGTGTGTTTATGTGTGCAGATAAAGATAGATCATCAAGCTCTTACAATCTAGACACTCTTATATGTATTAGGAAGGAACGCGTTGTGAAGTAGGGCATAAGCTGATCATCCAAGGTCATAGATTTGGAACTGCCTTTGCAGCGGTATGTGATGCTCAACAAGGCTGCTTTTCCTTACATTTATTTTTTGTGAAATACAGAAATGTGCTTCTTCCTCATACTAGTAAAAATAACTTCTTAATCTCAAAATGGAACAGATGAAAAAACAGCATAAAATATTTTCTATAGAAAATATATAAACTATATATAAACTATAGAAAGTTTGCCTTTCTTTATTAAAAATGAACCCACTTATTCCTTCTGGTTATTCAGCATGAATAATAATTTAGCACAATCTGAGAACAAATACATTATCCCCTGTTTTTCTGTGTTCTTATTTTCTTATGTCTCATTGTATGAGCAAAACTGCTTTGTACACTGCTATGGAAAAGACAATATTTAGAAGCCATAGAGAAAAAATATTAATTCATGAAACTGGATTTTTTTCTGTAAAAAAATTCACTCTGAAGCAAAAGTATCTTTAAACATTTTTCATTTTGAATACTTTTGAAAAGATTAATTTGATAAATCAAAAATTTCTCAAAATTGGGTAAAAGAGAGAAAACTTGAGAAAAAAACAAAAACTAAACCTTTTCAATGTCCCCATTCTCCTCCACCTAAATCTTCTGTGAAATATCAAGCAAGTATCCAAAGTTCAACCTAACTTAAACCTTTTTAAAATAGTATTTTCTACTGATTTCTGTATTCTATGTTATCTTTACCTGTAGACCTTTACCTGATCTAGCTGATTTAGAACTTTCTACTACTGACTATATTTATTCTTTGACATATGAAAATGACTTTACAACATTTTATGAATACAACTGTATTTATTTCTTCTAGTAGGCTGATAGTCTTTAAGCCTTTTATCGTTATTTATTTTAAAATGAGTATTCTGATGAATTATGAGCATGTGCTGAAACACTATCTGCAGCTCAAGTTGGAATACAGCTTTTTCTTCTGTGTGCTTTATAGCACTTAAATCTTTCTCCTTCCCAGACTCCCTGTATTTTTTCATTTTTAAAAGCCTTCTGTTTATTGCTTCCACTAATCTTTAGATCTCTACTTAACCTCATTGCCCACTGTTGCCCTTTTCTACATTTAGATTTAACCAGCATGTCAATTGCAGTCTCTCCAGAAAATTTCTGAAGCATTTTCCATTTTTAATTAAAAAATCCATTTTTTAAAATGGCACTTGTACAGTATCACAACTTTCCTCAAGTACTGTGTTCAGAAAATTCTATATTCTTCCTGATCCTTAGGAATTGTCATTAGAACTGCAGAAAAGATGGCATGTAAAGATATACATATAAATGTATAATATATACATATATATATGTATATTGTATATATGTGTATGTATATATGTATTTAAATATCTTCCCTCCAAAAAAACTCATGAAATTGATTGAATGTACTCACTATTGCTTCTGATACAGTCTGGAGAGAAAGGCAAGTCAAGGTTGAGGGATCTAAGTCTTAAACACAGCGGCTGAAGCACCTGTGAGAAGTCTGAGAGAAACTGAGAATGGTGTAACAGTTCTATATGAGAGGATAAAAAAAAAAACACAACAGATGACTCTTTCAGTTCTAGAGTAGGGCTAACAATGCTCTTCTTCCAAGTGTGACACATTGCTCGAGTTACTGTTTTTTATTGTTCTAAAGCATCATATTCTTGGCAGTTTTTAACACTATCAGCAAATTCATTTTCTCAGTTTAATTTTACTGTCTACATGTAGGTAAAACTTATTTTTAGCATTTGAGGAAGTAGAATGCAGAAGCCCACTGTATTTTGCTGGATTTTGTAAAGGTGAGTTCATAAATATCGTAATCAACATTCTAGACTGTCTTTTGTTTGAAGATTTTCCATACATTTTTCAGTTATAAAAATAAGACTTTCTGAATTTGTCTTGACAATTTTATAAGACTGTGTATCATCTAGTTGTGGCTCAGTCTTATCCACATTCAGTTCTATAAAAGAGAAATTGGCATCTTGGAATTGTAAAGTTTTGCTGTCCTTGTTCAGTTATTTCTGTCACTTGAGTCACAATGTGTAACTCTAAATAATGCCTTCCTTTAGTTATCTTCTTTACCTTTCTAGCAGGTATGATGAAACCAAATCCTTAATAAATCATAAATAATTTACTTGCTTCTTATAGCATGAATTTTTCTTAGTAGTTACAAATGAGAAGTATTTTTGGTAAAGGCAGTTAATGTTCTGATGGTGCCAGAATAGGTGCTGGAATTTATTTGTCAATGGCAGCTAATTTTGTATGTTAAAAATAATATGGTTCTTGGCTCTCTGAATGTGAAAACTTCTCAGAAAGTATAATGTGTAGTTCAACTAAAAATGGAGCTGGAAATTTACTTTGGAACAGGAGGCTGTAATTCAGTTCATTGGGAGCCAGTTAGTCCTCTTCCAAAATGCAGGAAGAGTATTGTAAGCAAATGGTGTGATAGCTGCACTTGAGTAAAAAACCATGGGAACTGCATTACCCAACTCAATTTTTTTGTTTTGAACAATCATTTCCATTACCCCGTGAAACATCACACTTGGAAGTTTCTTGAGGCTCTGTATTTCATCAGTGACTTTCTAGCCTACTTTCCTCAGCCTGCCTCATTTTTTAATTTGCACAGTACACTTGAGTTCTTTGGTCAGACAGTCAAAGAAAAAATCTGTCAGAGGGATTAGTAAGAAGACTTAAGGTTGTCTCAAGCAAGCTTATGGTAAAAGGATTTAAACATACCAAGCATTAGTGAAAGTGGTTGGCTAAAGACGTGCAAACTTGCTACCTGTAGCCTGCTTTTCTGCAAGTCCCCAGTCAGTGAGCAGTTATTCACCAACCATCTACAAAACACACAGAAGAAGTGTTCATAATCTTTATATGTTCTAAAACAGTGCAAGGAGCAAAAATAATAGAGGCGGAAAAAAGGATATCTCATCCCATCTTTCTCTGCTACAGTACATACTATATAGTAAAAATGTGCCATGTTTTTATTATTTCTGTTATCGGTATTCCACGTAACATCCTGTAGTGTACTCAGAATTATAATGCTCCAGTTCCATGGATTGCCAATATTTTTGGGTACCTTGTTCTCAGAAAAGAAGAACTACATAAAAAAATCCAGAGGACTTTCACTGTTTCATTTCCTGTTTCCATTTTCCATTTATAGGAAAAGATAAAACAGCTCGCTAGTCATGAGATTGGTTCCTTCTTCCTTCCTCCACAGTGTGTGCTCCCTAGACACCTCACCTTCTTCATTAGCACTGGAATAAACCTGACCACAAAGGTGGAAAAGGGATGGAAGACTGAGAAGGAAAATGAAGTTTTGAAGAAGAGACCAGAAAAAGAAAGGCTGAAAATGATTATGAAGCTCACACAAGATGTATAATGATTATCTCTTCTCTGCGTTCTAGAGGAGCTTTACAGAATCACAGAATTGTAGGGGTTGGAAGGGACCTCCAGAGATCATCGAGTCCAACCCCCCTGCCAAAGCAGGTTCCCTACAGCAGGTCGCACAGGTAGGCATCCAGGCAGGTTTTGAAAATCTCCAGAGAAGGAGACTCCACAACCCCCCTGGGCAGCCTGTTCCAGTGCTCCGTCACCCTCACTGTAAAGAAGTTCTTGTGCACATTTGTGGAGAACTTCCTGTGCTGCAGTTTCTGGCCGTTTCCCCTTGTCCTGTCTCCACTCACCACTGAAAAGAGTCCGGCCTTGCCATTCTGCCCCCCACACCTTAGATATTTATAGACCTGGATCAGGTCCCCTCTCAGTCTTCTTTTCTCAAGGCTGAACAGACCCAGTTCACTCAGCCTTTCCTCATAGGAGAGATGCTCCAGGCCCTTCACCATCTTCATGGCCCTCCACTGGACTCTTTCCAAGAGATCCTTGTCTTTTTTGTACTGGGGAGCCCAGAACTGGACGCAGTACTCCAGATGAGGCCTTACCAGGGCAGAGTAGAGGGGGAGGATCACCTCCCTCGACATACTGGCCACGTTCTTTTTAATGCATCCCAGAATGCCATTGGCCCTCTTGGCCACCACAAGGGCACACTGATGGCTCATGGCCAACCTGTTGTGCACCAGGACACCCAGGTCCCTCTCCGCAGAGCTCCCCTCCAGCAGGTCATCCCCCAACCTGTATTGGTGCATGCAATTATTTCTCCCCAGATGCAAGACTCTACACTTCCTTTAAACAGGAAGCAACAGAGGTGGCAAACCGAATCATGTCATCTAGCTGCCTTCTCTTTGGAGATAACTGGCAATTCTGAAAGGGAGATGAGGAAGAAGAAAAGAACTTCTTGGTTTGTTAATCTGCTGGTGTTATAGTGAACTTTGATTAATTTCACAGCTCAGTCAAGTAGTGGGCTAACATCTTGACAAAGTTGTGTTTTGTGTTTGATCATTCTAAATCTGAGAACATCCTTGTTAACCTAGTTGTAGCTTTCAATAATGTAAAAAATATTTCCTACCAAAATATATTTTTAATATAATTTATGATTTGGTGTACATATGAAGCTAGATGAAGAGGACATAAATAGATACTTAGGAGAAGACCCACAGTCCTTAGAAAGATCTTTGCTCAGTTCTGTAAAGGGACTACAGCAGTCCTTGTACTATTTTTTTGCAGGTGCTATAAGAATTCCTCTAAATGGCAGGAGATGAACTTTGGCAGAAAATACAGTGTAAACTTTAGCAGTTTAGGCATGCTTATATACAGGTTTTTAACTAAAGTCTTGTTTTGTTATCAACAAAAGATGGCTTGCTTTCAGAAAAATACAAGCTATATTTCAGTGAGACAGGACTCTGGAAAAAAATGTTTGACATTAGTTACATACACTGTAACTAATCTGAATCACTGATTCTGGTAGGGACTGACATCCCTGTCTAAGTCCCAAAGCTAATATGATTCTGTATGTAGGGCCAGTTTAAAGTCACAGGCTCAGCTAGGTCTAACTAGAACTACTGAAGAATAGAAGGTACAGATTAAACATTTTTCTCCATTGTGAGACTATAAATAAAAATTTGAAAGTGACTTTATAGCCAAATGATTTATTCATTGCTATTATATTATTTATATCAATGTGAAATATGTTACTTTGATTACTGAGAAATGGAAAAATTTTGTGAGGATAGTGAATGGGGAGCAATTTTTTTAATGTCCTTAAAATATAAACTGATGGGGTTTGCTTCCTCTGTACAAACGGTACTTTTCATTGAAAAGAATAAATCCCATCACTGTAGTATCTCAGGTGATCTTTTAGACTCTTTCAGTTGTGGTGAAAACCCAGGAGTTTCTTGGCTTTCTGCTTTGAGTAGAGGACACTCACAGTATTCTATTACTCTGTGAGAGACTTCACTTGGACAAAATAACGTAGAAAATGTTGACTTGGAAAATAGACTGAATAATCTACCACAGCACAGTGGAGTTTGTTTGTTTGGTTGGTTTGTTATTGTTGTTGTTGTTGTTTCTTAACGAATCAGCAATGAACAATTTGACCTAATTCAGAAATAATTGAAGACTACATAAATATTTGGCTGGTTCAAGTTTTAAATAGAACCACAGTAAAATTTCATGTACATATTAGACTTTTAAGAACGTATTGTTTATTTAATTGCATTGACTAATAATTAGAATTATTTTTATCAATACAAAAATAAATGACAAGTCTCCCTACCCTACTCTATTTTTTTAACAATCACTTTTTAATCGGTATATACTATATACAGCTGGTAGCTCTTTCATTTTTGTATCTCCAATCTGCTTTCTGGGGTATTAACTATGCACAAGTTGGCTACATCTCTTCTACAAGCCACATCTGCGTTTAATAATTTACTATATGCTATAATCTACCACCTAACTTCCAGTCATTTTTACTAAGTGTGGAGGACAACAAGCAGAGAGGAGGTACTTAAGAATCTATCCCTGAATATCTAAATGCATACTTAACTGATTAGTTTTATATGACAGTCTCTTATAAACATGCTAATATGCTGAGGACTCTTAATTTGCATCTACATGCTATTGATTTCTGTATGATTATACATAATGAGCTCATTGTGATCACACTTAGTGCTGTTCTGAGAATCATGAAAATATATGCAGTTTGGAGAGAAGGATGTAGCCAAAGGCAGAAATGATCAGAAATATGTTGTTTTTTAAGAGATTTGATGAGAAACTTCATACAGGTTTTCTTTGAAAAATGGCTTATTCTGAATACTTAAAGAGGAAATAAAAGGACCATGAAAACCTGGACAACAAGGTAAACAAAAGTGAAAGGAATCCACATTGATGCTATTTTACACCAAGCTCAACTAATAACACCCAACATGCTCAGAGGTACAGGAAAAAGTAAATCCATGCCGAATAAATCACCCCAGGGGTCAATACTCGTGACTTCTTTGTGGCCAAGAGGACCAATGGCATTCTGGGATGTATTAAAAAGAACGTGGCCAGTAGGTTGAGGAAGGTGATCCTCCCTCTCTACTCTGCCCTGGTAAAGCCTCATCTGGAGTACTGTGTCCAGTTCTGGGCTCCCCAGTACAAAAAAGACAGGGATCTCTTGGAAAGAGTCCAGTGGAGGGCCACAAAGATGGTGAAGGGCCTGGAGCATCTCTCCTATGAGGAGACAAAGACTTCTTTACAGTGAGGGTGACGGGGCACTGGAACAGGCTGCCCAGGGAGGTGGTGGAGTCTCCTTCTCTGGAGATGTTCAAGACCCGCCTGGATGCCTACTTGTGTGACCTGGTGTAGGAAACCTGCTTTGGCAGGGGGGTTGGACTCGATGATCTCTGAAGGTCCCTTCCAACCCCTACAATTCTGTGATTCTAGTTACTTCCAGGCATCTCAGTTATTCACAGAACAGAGGCACCGGGAGAAGTCCAAAGGAACTCTGTGTATTGCCATGTCACTGCTCTCCTGAGTATTTCAGTGCTTCCATTAAGGTAATGTCATTACTATGATCAATTCACAAGCTTGTTTGAAATTTCTTGAACAATGAACAGTGTTGCAGACAGGATCAGTTTCTCCATTCCACCTCTGCTTTTTCTAACGCAATAGCTGAGATAAGTATTTTTAAATGTAAACAGAAATCTGAGGGAATTCCTAAAGAAAATGAATACTTACTAACTTTAAAGAAGTTATTGTTATTCAAAGTGAGTTTTTGGGGTTAGCGTAGAAGGAGAATGGCATTAAAGGTTGATAAAAGTACAACACTTTCCATTGTTCACTGCATTTGTAAATAAGTCTTAGAAACAGCATAACTTGTAGATCTCTAATATATACAGATAGCCTCTGGAACTGTAATGAGGTTATCCGTGATTTTTCACTTGTTACTAAAGGACATGAATCTTTCCAAAGGGCAAGGCTAGTGCATTTACTCAGACTCCTACGCAAATTGTCCCAGGATCCTAATTTGATGTACCTCAGTGGAGAGTGATTAGGGTCAGAGGACTTAAGCTGTATTCTAACACATATTAGATTTAAATAATCCTGTCTCATCTCTTCTGGCTCCTAACCAGTTTATTTTAACACTGAGTTTGTTTGTAAAGTCTAAATGAATTTTAACAGCATCTAGTGACATTTTACTAGAAAACAGACAAACTCTAGCGATTCAGGTTCCAAAGTGTATCAGTGTTCAATTTTTGAAGGTTTCTCAGTAGACTGAACTTGCCGGAGATCCTTATTGTTCATACAAAATAGATTGGGATAATATCCTCAGAGTTAATCTATTTAAAATGAATAGTGATCTTAGATCCTTTTGGCACTGGATTAGGAAGAAAGTGATATTACTGTGGAGTTAGTCCCACTTCCAGGCTGTGCAATGGTTTTTCTCAAGCAATTATGAAGCTGTACAACCTGTACCTTTAAGATAACTGTGGAAGATATAATCTTTTAAGATTAGACTATTCTACTGATAAAATTTATCTTTTTCTCTCTCATTAAACATTTAAAGTATTTAATTAACAGACCCTATTCAAGAATTTCTGGGATGAATGAAGGCATATTCATATTTTCTGAGAGTACCTTATTCAGTCTTATTTTAAAAGTCTAAATCACATATAAGGTATATATGTGTTTTTAAATAACTTAGTCAGAAGGAAATGAGTAATAATAATCCCCTGTAATTAACAGGGGCATCTACAGCTAGATCAGGTTGCTTAGAGTTTGCTCCAGTCTGATTTTAAATGTTTCCAGGGACTGGGAGTCCACCACCTCTCTGGGCAACCTGTTCCAGTGATTCACTGCCCTTATCATTAAAAAAAACTTTTTTCTTATACCCAATATAAATCTTGTCTCTTTTAGTTTGAAATTATTTCCCCTTGTCCTATCAGAAAAGACCTTATAAAGAGTTTATTTCCTTCCTTTTCATAGCTCTTTTTGGATACTGAAAGGTCACTATCATGTCTCCCTGGAGTTTTCTCCAGGTTGGACAGCCCCAGCTCTC